AGAGAGAGAGAGAGAGAGAGAGAGAGAGAGAGAGAGAGAGAGAGAGAGAGAGAGATATTGAGATTATTTGATCACAAAGATTTGAAGAAACAATAGGCTGCAGGACACATGAATTTTCCTTTTCTTCATGATGTTCCTTTTGAGTGAGCATAGTACCTACATAAAGGGCCACAGCAAAGGAGGTACTTAATTGTAATGTTAATTAAACAGATAAGGAGGAAGGGGTGTATTAAGGAGAAGATAGTACAAGGCAAGATGAACTTTGAATGTTTTAAATTTGTCCAAACTGGATGGATGGAGGAGTCCAGTCCAACTCTCACTCTGCGGTATGACTCCCCTTCAGATTCCTATAGCTGAGGATACAGCTCAGTGGTAGGGAATTGCCTATCATGCATGCAGCCCTGAAGGCCATTTCAGTATTCCCCCAACACACACAAAATTCCTAACATTTGGTGTTCAATGGATGAATGAGTACACATTGTAAAAGAAAGAAAGAAAGAAAGAAAGAAAGAAAGAAAGAAAGAAAGGAAGGAAGAAGGAAAGAAAGAAAGCACATTTAAGAACCTTAGAATTAGAGTGCCTAGAGAGATGGCTCAGTGATTTAGAGCACTTGCTGCTCTTACAGAGGGTCCAGGTTGCAATCCCAGCACCCAAAGGTGGTTCACAACTCTTTACAACTCCAATTCCAGGAGGAACAGGTGCCCTCCCTCTTCTGGCCTCCACAGGCACTGCATAAACATGGTGCATGGACAGATATACATTCAAACAAAATATGGACCTATATAAAATTAAAAAATCAAGAAAGAAGGTCAGAATGGGAGATGTGAATGTAGTCTAGTGATAAAAGAGTTCCTTAGCATTTTACATCAGAAGGCTCAGGGTCCATACCTAGCACTCAACCAACCAACCAACCAACCAACAAAAACCAAAGCACATTAGAGCCTGAAATCACCTCAGAACGCTCTCTGGAAATGACTGGAATATTCCCACCTACTCCCTTGTCCGGTGGCTGTAATGGTTATTAGATACAATTGAAGGACTAAACAAACAGTCTGGAAACAGTGTTTAACAACGTTAAGTTGTTACTATTCTTCAGAGTGGATAGAGCTACATTTTAGACAGATAACAATTACCTGTCAGTAGGACTCGGAGAACTAGCTCCCTGCTGATCAGAGAAACACGAGAATTTGTCGGAACCCAACATCTGTAAAGAGGGAAAAGAATTATTAGTGACCTTTGGGACTCCAAAGTGAATCGGCCAAATAATGTATAAGCTTCCCCATCCCCATGGCACATTTTAAAAGCACCTAGAGTTCCTAAAGTAGGACATAACTATGGGATCAGGAACCTAAATTAAAACCCTAAACTCAGGGCTACACAGAGAAACCCTGTTTTGAAAAACAAAACAAAACAAAAAAACCCAACCAAACAAACAAAAACAAAAAAAACAAAACAAAAAAACTCCTAAACTCTAAATAGAAAATCACAAATCCCAAATGGTAAATTTAAGCTCCTAAAATTTGGATCTAAAATTAAAATCAGCAAATTTCCAGACACTGATCTCAGAATTCAGATATCAACAGTGGGGTGCCAAAGGCTGAAAAACAGACTGTCTAGCTTGAAAGGTGTGGCTTGAGACCTCCAGAAAGGGGTATGTGGGTGTGTGAGACAGGGTCTCTCTGTATAGCTCTGGCTGTCCTAGAATTCACTATGTAGATCAAGCTGCACTTGAACTCACAGAGAGAGATTCACCTGGCCCTGCCTCTCTAGTGCTGGACTTAAAGGGGTGTGTCACCACACCCAGCTAGATGATGGTAGTTAAAGATGAAAACTAACTTTAAAAATCCCAAGTGAGGGCTGGAGAGATGGCTCAGCAGTTAAGAACACTGACTGCTCTTCCAGAGGTCCTGAGTTCAATTCCCAGCAACCACATGGTGGCTCACAGCCATCTGTAATGGGATCTGGTGCCCTCTTCTGGTGTCTGAAGACAGCTATAGTGTACCATGTACATAAAATAAATAAATAATTTTTTAAAATCCCAAGTGAGAATTGGACATGGTAGCTCATGCCTTTAATCTCAGCACTCCAGAGGCAGAGACAGACAGAACTCTGAGTTAAGGCCAGCCTGATCTACAGAATAAGTACCATGACGTCCAAGGCTACATAGAAAAATCCTATCTTGGAAAAAAAAAAAAGGATTTTACTCCTAATATCAGATCACAAACACAAACTACCCCCTAACCCCCACACAGTCTCACCTTATACTAGCTCAGGTTTATGTAGTCTAGGCTGGACTCCAGCTCACACAAGATTGTATATGTGAGTTACCACAGCCAACTCAGACCACAAAGCTTAACACTGAAAAACCCAAATCCTAAAAGAATATCCAGGGTACTCAAAAACAAAAAACAAACAAACAAAAAACCCCAAACAAAGAAAAAAACCAAACAAAACCCCAAAACCAAAACCAAAAAACCTCGCCCCCCCAAAAAAAATTTACGGGGCGAGGATACCCAAGGAGCACTCCCACTTCTTAGAGGAGAAGGGGAGGGGCATGGGGGAGGACCTACCAGAGGGGTGGGGACCGGGAAGAGAGGAGGGCTGATGTTGGGATGTAAAGTGAAAAAATAATTTTAAAAAATGCACATCATGTCCTACAAGCTCTAAACTCTAAAAACGTCCTCGCATTGTGATTTTCTTCTTAGAAAACTTAGACCTCACGCACGCATCCCACTGAGACCTGGAACCCTAAATTGACACCTATAGGCCATGAGTAGGAGGGCAACTCCAGGCTTTCAAATTCATCCTCAAAGACCCAAACTGCCCCCTCCCAGAGCCTACTCTCCTGCCTCAGTACTGAAAAGCCCCAACCCTGTCAAATTAGACCTCCGGAACCCCAAACTAAGATTTCCAGATCTCCCATCTTCAGCTTCCAAAAGCCGAGCCTCGAACAGGAGACCTCACGTCTCCAGCGCCACTCAGAACTTTCCAGAAGCCCAGCCTGGATTCCCTCAAACCTGCCTCCGAACTCCGTGGTCCCGCCTCATCCATTCTAAAGCTTCCCAGGAGGTCCCGGCCGCGGGCGCGGGGTGCGACTCTCCCCGCCGCCTCCCGCCAGCTCGAGCTAGGGCGTCCGTCCACCGCCTCACACCCGTTGGTCGTCACCAGACACACCTCAAGATTTGCAAAATGGCGTTAAGCCTCGACGTCTGGCTTGGCCCCGGGCTCCGGCTTCGACAGTCCGAAGGGCTCCGGCCGGCAGCGGCGCGTGCGGCTCGCGGGGCTCGCGGGCTCCCAGGGATGCAGACCGCGTGCCGCCCGCCCCGGGCGCCGACCGGGCGAAGAATGGCAGGGCGCGAGGCGGTGGCGCGAAGTCCCCCGAGCGCCTGAGGCGAGGCCACGCCCCTCCACGCTCCCGCCACGCGGTGCCAGGCGCGACCACACGAGGCGTTGGAAAAGGGCAGTGCGGGCGAGTGGGCCTCGCGCACGCGCACCCGGGGCAGGGCACCGGCCGCGGCTCTGACACGTGCTCCTGCTCCCGCGCTCGCAGTGCCAGCCAATCGGCTCTTGCTCCGCTACCCGCCCTTTCCACGGGCCACGCCCCCTGTTCTGCCCCGCCCCTATTCACCTCAAAGGCCAGCAGGATTGGCCAGGGCTCGGCCAGAGCGAGGTGTCAGCACTCCCCCTGCTGGCTCGCCTGTGTCCCCGTCGCACCCTTTCCCTTCAGGGCGCATCTGCTTAAAGACCACTGTGTGCCAAGCACCTGGGTCAGCCTGCTGACCTTGGCAACTTTCCTTAAGATGAGCCTTTGTAGACCTGATGGAAATGCCAGTTCCTGTAGACGCAAACAAAGTAACCTTTAGTATCTCTGTGTGGATCTGGGCTTGCTATGTAGCCCAGGCTTGCCTAGTACTTGTAACCCTTTTGTCTCAGGTCTGTCTGCAACGCAAGGAGTGCACTACCTCGTAACTCAGGTTACAAACTATACAATTTGTTTATTTAAAAAAAACACTTAATTTTTATCTACGTGTACACGTTTGCGTGTGGAGGAGATATGTGCGTATTAGCACTGGTGTCCCCAGAGGCCGGAGGCATCAGATCCCCCTAGAGTTGAAGTTACAGGCAGGTGCTGAAAGCGAATGCAAGTTCTCTGCAAGAGCAATACTTGCTCTTGACCTCTGAATTTCCAACTTTATCTTTATTTTTTGACATAGGGTCTCATAATTGAACTCAGTATATATAGATAGACCAGGCTAGCCTCAAACTCATAGAGAATACACCAACCTCTGCGTCCGGAACGGTGGGATTAGAAGTGTGTGCGCACCATGGGAGATTCAAACTGTACATTTTAGAAAGCTTTCTTGGGCTGAGATAGATCAGTGGGTAAAGGCCCCTGCTGCCAATCCTCCCGATCTGATCTCCATCCCCGGACTCTAGCGGTGGAAGGAGGAAACCAGCTCCTGAAAGTCGTCCTCTGACCTCCACATCCACACAGAAAAAGAAATGGAAGCCCAAGCCGGGCGGTGGTGGCTCACGCCTGTAATCCCAGCACTTGGGAGGCAGAGGCAGGCAGATTTCTGAGTTCGAGGCCAGCCTGGTCTACAGAGTGCTTTCCAGAAAAACAAAGACAAAAAAAAAAAAACAGATATAAAAAAACAAAAAAAAAAAAAAAAAAAAGAAAAGAAAAAAGAAACGGAAGCCCATTCTCATGTACATGAATATGGGAATTCTGTGGAGGGAAAATCTTGAGACGTTTTCTAGCCACCTAGCTGTTACAAGTACCTGGGGTTAACTGTCTCAGATCAGAGTGCTTTCCAGTAATGATGTGGACAGAAAGGTTTGATCTATTCTCACCTTAACTTTAAGAAATTTGGGTTAATTCTTCCTAGGGTTGTACAAAGTAGTCAAAAAGCGTCAACTTTTCACTCAATAATACTGTTCTAGGTCTCTAGCCAAAGTGCACAAAGATTCGTGCCCTTCTGGAGGCCCTGTTCTACGTGTGGACATAGTGTCTGGGCTTTCCTCACTTCAATAGCTCCTTTCCCTTATTTGCTAATTAGGTGGTGGTGGTAGGCAAGTCGGATGTGAGATGGAGGTAAGACATGGAAGGCAAAGCTTGGGGAAACGCATATATTATCAATTATTTGTCAACTAACACAAATAAATCAATAAATTTGTTCTTCTTGAACTCTCCATCCCTCGCTAACGTCCCTTTGAAGTAGCCTCGTTTCCCTTCTCCAGGGCCTCGGGCCAAAATGGAGGCGTATGGGCTCTATTTCCCAGAGAACCTCGCGGGAGCATGTTCTGCGCCTGCGCATCTCAGTGTGCCCTTTGCCTCCTGGGAATTAGAGTCCTTCTATTTCTCAGCCCGCCTAGTTCGTTTCCTACTCCACCTCCAAGTTACCGTGTTGCATGTTGGGAGCTGTAGTCCACGGCCGCCTGTACTCCAATTCCCAGCGGGCTTCGGGGCTAGAACCCGGAAGGGGAGGCTGAAGAGGAGCGAGTGGGGGGAAACCCGCGTAGTCGAGAGAACTGCAGCGCGGGGAGATGGTGAGAGCCCCAAGCTGGGTCCCGCGGGTGCTTGAGAGTATGAGCGGGGGGTTCAGGACTTGGGTTTGAGGGAAAGCAAACTAAGGCTAAAGAAAGGGCTGGGCGTGGGGTGATCACTGTGGGTGGGGATTGAGAGGAACGGGAGCCCGAGGAAGTAGAAGAATGGGGGCTAGGGAGGGGTCTTGGAGGTGGAGAGAGTCGAGCTTTGGAATTGGCTTTTAAGGGTATTAGGAGCTGAAGGAGTGAGGCTCGGAGTTGGAGTACTGGCTGAATAGACGAGAGACCCTGAGTGGGAAATTTCGAGAGAGGTTAGTTAGCCTGGTTATATGGAAAGGCACAGGAGTCGGGGGTAGATGAGTGAAGGGAGAGGCTAACCGCGGATGCCTTAGGTTGGGTTGCGGGATTGCGAGGTGAGGTTGGCAAGGCAAGTTGAAGAGATGGGAGGTAGAAGTCATCGATGGTCTAGATTAGCTTTCTAGGACCAGGAGGCGTTGTAGGGTGCGTGAGTTAGGAGCGTGGCTGTCGATATTGTGCCTTAATCTAACCAGAAACTACCGATAAACTGGACAGCCACAGAACTCTGGGTTGTTATGACCAGATGGGGTCCGTAGAGACAACCTTTAGCACCCTTCTAGCCCAGGTCATATCTAGGCGAGTAGTGGTGTGTGTGGGCAATCCAGCTTTCAGATTCCTTATTTTGACCCTTCTTTGTGACCTGTGCAAGTCTCTCTGTAACCCTCTGTGCCCTTATCTGTATGATGAGAACAAGCAGGCCATTCTGAAGATAGCTAAAGGGAGGCTCCGTAAAAATGGATACTTTTGGTCGGAAAGTGAAGTCCCAGCGTTAAAGCTGTTGGTGGGAAGCTCCTGTCCCAGGAATGTTGACTGGGTTAGAGTTGCTAAAAGATTTCCTATTCTTCAGTCCAGCCCCCAGACATTTTTTCAAAACCTGACAATAGTCTCTGTACACCATAGTTTATGCAGGGGACATCCCCCCAGCCCCACCCCTTTACTGCTAACATCTGTGTCTAAGAAATGCCCAGGTTTGGCTTCAGCCACCTGGTTTGTATTTGTATTAACTTACTGGACTCAGGTGATGCCTTAAGTGTAGCTCTCCATTTTACAGAAAGCAAGTAGAGGCATGGAGAATTTAAGCAACTTTCTCCATGTCAGCCAGCATAAATGGTAAATCTACAATTGAAGTCTGGGTCAAAATCTGCTTTGGTGGAAACACTAGCCAGAGCAGCTGTCAGGTAGGATTTAATTCTTTTGCATAACCTGGGGCAAGTCTTGGGACTCTGTCCAGCTGTTAAATGAGATCTTGGTAGGCTAGAGAGTTTAGGGAGATAATGTTTGGGAGTGCTTAGAGTAAGTGTACAGTACATATGTGTTGTCTTGGGACTCACTGTGTAGCTCAGGCTGGCCTCTTAACTCTTGATCTTCCTGACCTAGGATCCAAAGTGCGGAGATTATCATTACCGGTGCCCAGATATTATTTGTTGTTGTTTTGAAACAGAGGGCTCGTGTATTTCAGCCTGGTTTCAAACTCTCTGTGTAGCTGAGGGTGGCCTTGAACTTCTGATCCTCCTGCCTCCATATCCTAATTTCTGGGATTATAGGTGTGCACTACCGTGCCTGGTTTATGCTGTGCTGGGGATCGAACCCAGGGCATTGTGCATGCTAGGCAATCGGTCTACCAGGGAAACTCCATCACTGGGTCGTGTTTTTGTTTCTGAAGTGAATGGGAAATACCAGATAAAGGAGGTAGGAAAGGAACCAGTGAGGGAGCACTGGACATGCTGGCCTTCCCTCTCAACTTGCACACCCCCGCCTTTCCTGTCCCCCTGTTCTGGGTTCCTGAGTCTAAGCAAAGCTCCTAGAAAGATGCTCAGAAACTTAATCTGTCTCCAGCCAAATATTAATAATTCACTTGTCCCAGTCTGGCCCAACGCCCAAGTCTTCCAGGGAGTTAGAAATACTGCTGGCAAGTGAGTTGGGGTTTTGTTTGGTTATTTTGATTTTTGGTTTTCTTGATGTTGTTGTGGTGTGTGTGTATAAGTGTACCCTCTAACATTTCCGGGAGGGCAGGCAGGGGACTTCTTCTCTAAGAAGTTTAGCAACTTTGTAATTCACTTTGAAACAATTTGGGCTTAATAATATATAATTATGTGTATGGTATGGATTGTTTGAACATGTGCCTCCCTGGAGTGGGCAGTTAGATCAGGAGCTGGAGGCAGGGGGCTGCCTGGAGTGGGTGCTGGGCCCCGAACCTGCAACTTCAGGAAGAAGAGTAAGCACTCTTAACTGCTCAGTGGCTTTAGCTGCCCAGAGTGGCTCTTTTAGGTTACTTGCTTGGAGTTTTTCTTCTTCTTTGTTTCTTTTTCAGAACAGGGTCTCTCTGTGTAGCCCTATCTGTCCTGGAACTCTATGTGGACCAGACTGGACTTGAACTCACAGAGATCCACCTGCCTCTGCCTTCCAAATGTGGGGACTGAGGCATGCTCTCTTATTTTTTTTTTAATATGTAAGACAGAGCCATACTTAGCCCATGTTGTCCTCCTAAGGAATTGATAATAAGGCCATGTTAAAGTGCTCTTAGTAAGTATGACCATTCCTTCACGAAAACAACACTAGAGATGTTTGTGGTGGCACAAGCCTGTCTTCACAGCACAGCGGAAGTGGAAATAGGAGGAGGATTTGGAGTTTGAAGCTAGCCTGGGTTTCATGTTTGAGAGGGCGGGGGGGGGGGGGGAAAAGAAGATTGCCATCTGAAAAATGGGAGTTCACTTAAAAAAAAAACCTTCCTATATTTATTGTATAGCGTGTACTGTGGGATGCCTGTGGAGGGCAGCAGGAGCCGGTTCCCTCCTTCTATCCTGTGGACTCAGGTTGGTTAGGCTTGGCAGCAAGCAAACCTGTACCCACAAGTCACCTTGCTGGCTGGGATTCACTTCTTTAGTGGCCAGAGCCTCTGCGAGCTGCCAGGGCCTGGACTGCAGGCAGACTGGCCTCTGCCCTCTGGAGCTCCCTGTTTTCAAGATGCCAGAGTCCTGTTGTTCAGCACAAGCGGCTTTGTGTTTGGTTTTCAGGTTCCCTGCCTGCCCACATTGTTGTGACCCACGGGGATGTGTCCCATGTCGTCCCACCCCCCACCCTGAGAGCTTTTAACATTGTCTCTTTACTCTTTCTTAAATTACCTAAACACCTATTGGTTTGAGGTAAAGTGGAACATCTCTCACTTGTCCCTGTGTGTCACAGCTGGGCGAGCTGACACTTTTTTTTCCCATGCCCTCCATTTGTTTGTCTTAGGAAAAAAAAAAGAGTCAGATTTCCAAATTATTTTGCACACATAGCCCTTTGTGTCTTTGTGTCTGTTTTGTGTGTTACACGTTCTGTGTAGCTTCAGTGCTCCGAAACGCAATGTGTTAAGTACACCAGGCTGGCCCAGGACTCACAGAGATCTGCTTACCTCCACCCACTGAGCATTGAGATTAAAAGGCAGGGGCCACCATGTGCTTGTTTCACTGTAGCGTACACTGGCCCCAAACTTTTGGTCACTTTGTCCCAACTATATGGTGCTGGAATTATAAATCTGTGCCACCACAGGGGACTGTTGTTTTTCTTTCCTCTTCTAAGAGGAGGAGTCTCACGTACAGCACAGGCTAGTGTTGAGCTCACAGTGTAGTAGGGGAATGGTCTTGACTTTCCTGCCTCCACGTCCCAAGTTCTGGGATTGCAGGCTCCAAGTACTGTGCTCTTTTTGGCTTTTATTTAAAAAAACAAAAAAAACCCCAAAAATTTTAAATTGGATTTCAGTCTGTGCTTGGCTGAGGCTTGATCATATAGCATGTGTGTATCTCTGTGTGTGTGTGTGTGTGTGTTTGCCTGCAAGCTCCAGGGATGTCCTATTTGAGTGTTCATGCATGTCCGTACCATGTGCATGCAGTGCCTGTGAAGGCCAAAAGAGGGCGTCCGATTCCCTGGCACAGACAGTTGTGAGCCACCATGTGGGTGCTGGGAATGGAAACCAGATCCTCTGCAAGAGCTGCCAGTGCTCTTAACCTCCAAGCCAGTCTCCAGCCCTGACTCTTCCTCTGCTTTTACAACAGTTTCACTCTGTAGCCCTGATGGCCCGGGATCCTCTTGCCTCTGCCTCCTGAATGCTGAGTGCAGGCATGAGATTCCACATCTGCCTGTAAAGTTGTTGTCATATTCCGTTTATGACAGCATCTTTTTTTTTTTCTTTTTTCTTTTTTTTTTGGTTTTTCAAGACAAGGTTTCTCTGTGTAGTCCTGGCTGTCCTGGAACTCACTCTGTAGACCAGGCTGGCCTCGAACTCAGAAATCCGCCTGCCTCTGCCTCCCAAGTGCTGGGATTAAAGGCGTGCGCCACCACTGCCCGGCTTATGACAGCATCTTACTAGCTGTGGTGGCAACGGTAGCTTATGCCTCAAAGCATAGCTTTTCTGAAGAGTTTGCCTCTGGTGCTTGGCTATATACAGAGAAGGACATGGCCTCTCTGAATCCTCACTGACTCCTTTATTTGAAATCATAAACTCATCTTCCATACAACCCAGCCCCTCACCCGTGTATTTATTTATTTCTGCCTGGAAACTGCCAACATGTTTATTTTCCCTTTATCCAATTAGTATGTCAGCCCCTTGAGGACAAAGATTTCTGTCTCCCATTCTCTGTGTGTCCCTAATGCCTGGAACTGTACTTGTCACAGTGTAGATTTGTCTTTCGTTTTGTTTTTGTCAGGGTCTTACTGGGTAGCCCTGGCTGGCCTGGATTCACTACGTAGACCAGACTGGTCCCAAACTCAGAGATCCACCGACCTCTGTCTGGCCTAAAGTGCTAGGATTAAAGGATAACCACCACAGCTAGCTACAGAATATGTTTGTGGTTTTATTGTTTGTTTGGTTTGGTTTTTCAAGACAGGGTTATTCTGCATAATGTAGCCCTGGCTGTCCTGGTACTCATTCTGTAGACCAGGCTGGC